GTGGGAGTTCATTTTTTATTTTTATTTTTTTTTTAGAGACAGAGTCTCACTTTTTCACCCTCGGTAGAGTGCCATACCAGTGTCACACAGTTCACAGCAACCTCCATCTCCTGGGCTTAGGTGATTCTCTTGCCTCAGCCTCCCGAGTAGCTGGGACTACAGGCCCTTGCCACAATGCCCAGCTATTTTTTTGTTGCGGTTTGGCCGGGGCCAGGTTTGAATCTGCCACCCTCGGTATATGGGGCCGGCGCCCTACTTACTGAGCCACAGGCACTGCCCAGGAGTTAATTTTTAAACTGGATTATTGTTCTTTTTATTGTGATGTTGTAAGTGTTCTTTATATATACTGGATATAAGACCCTTATCAGGTATATGATATGTAAATATTTTCTTTTATTCTGTGGGTTGTCTTTTCACTTTCTTGATAATGTCCCTTGATACACAAAAGTTTTAATTTTGATAAAGTCTAATTATCTATTTTTTCTCCTGTTGCTTGCACTTTCAGTGTCACATTTAAGAAATAATTGCCATATCTAAGGTCATGAATATATAACACTGTTTTCTTCAAAGAGTTTCATAGTTTTAGCTCTTATTAAATTTAATGGTCCACATTTTTATTAATTTTGAGTTAATTTTTGTTTATGGTAAAGATAGGGGTCAAACTCATTTGGAACCCTTGCTAAAAATCAAAGTATTACTTTTTTTTTCCAAAGTATTATTTTTTAGATAAGAAAATAAAATCAAAGTTATAAAAGTATATAGAGAGAATATGTTTCTTCTTTTTCCCCGCTATTATTTATATTACAGTTCAACAGGTTCTTAGTCCCTTATACTCAGATTAAAGCAATATCTTGTCTATCATTGCAGACTATTATCTCTTTACTACCACTATGTCATTTCCTTGCTCGGGAATGTCTAGGTTCCTAGTGCTCTGAGAGACTGGAGAGAGTGGATTACGTGAGCTGAGGAGCTTAAGAGCAGCCTGAGCAAGAGTGAGACCCTGTCTCTAAAAATAGCTGAGCAGGCTCGGCGCCTATAGCTCAACCGGCTAAGGCGCCAGCCATGTACACCTAGGGTGGCGGGTTCGAATCCCCAGCCCGGACCTGCCAAAACAACAATGAC